CTGCAGGTGCTAAAGGCTTTGGACCTGCCCTCTTTAGAGTGGATGCGGAGGATACTGGTGAGGATAAAAGCATATGAAATGATGACTGTTAGGCTGGTGGCTACCATGTTAAATCCACCAATGACAAAAATCAAAAGCTCATCAATGTAAGTGCTGGAACAGGAAAGTTTAATAAGAGGGACGATGTCACAGAAGTAATGTTTAATGATGTTCGATCCACAGAAAGACAACCTTAATATACAACCTACATGAATCACAGCATCGGTGAAACCTACTGAGAAGACAGCAGCCACCAGCAGGGAACAGACCCTGGGGGACATGATGACATTGTAGAGCAATGGGCTGCAGATGGCCACATAGCGATCATAAGCCATGGCTGCCAACATGTAGCACTCAGAAATGACAAAAACACAGAAAAAAAACAGCTGAGTCATGCATCCAGAATAAGAGATAGATTTATCTCTGCATAAAAATCCTGCCAGCATTTGGGGGGTAATGACAGAGGAATAGCAAAAATCTAAAAACGACAGACTGCTGAGGAGGTAGTACATGGGGGTGTGAAGGTGAGGATTTAGCCTAATTATGGAGATCATGCCGAGGTTTCCCATCATGGTAACAATATAAATCCCTAAGAAGAGCCAGAAAAGGGGCAGCTGAAGCTCTGTTTCTTCAGTTAATCCTGAAAGAACAAACTCAGTCACTGTGGAATGATTTCTTATGCCCATTCTCCTCTGAGAAATCTGCAGAGATGAGAGAGAGAGAGAGTTAAATTACACTGCAGAATCCCAGTTTGCCTCCAATTCCTCATAGCCCAGGCATTTCTAGCTATGACAACACTGATCTTGTGTTATGAAAACCAAAACGCCAGCACTCAGACAAGATGGAGTCGGCAAACATCTACCTACCCACAGATTTTAGGAACCACAGATACGCTTCTCCATTCCCCTCCAGTGTCTCAAATTCTTTTAGCAAAAGTCAAAATCTTTCATTCCAGACTTACAGATTAGCGCTAAAGACCGTGGGGGAGGTTTTCTAAAGCAAATCAGTTAAAAACGTTCATAAACAAGATGCTGGGGTTGTAAAAATACTTTTGCTAATGATACATTTGCCCAGGGCTGACCCTACCGCAAAAATTTCCTATAGAGAAGGTATCTATTGTTAAGGTCAATGATTATTTTCCACAACAAGGTTTCCAAGGGTGTTCAGCAGAATATTAACTCCAGAGAAATGTTAAAAGGTATTACATGAAATAAGTAGCCAAGGATCATATGATTTCAGACATGTTGAGTTACACAGTTAAACAGTTTTCTTAACTGAAGGATGTTCTCCTAGAGGACTACATAACATACAATATTTACCAAACTTATTTGATGATAGATAAACTGCACACTTCTTTTTAAAACATATTGTAGCACTAGTGTGGTGCAGAACATAATTTAGGATGAAGTTTTCATTTGTGCGTTTGTTCTATTTTTCATCTAACCATAAGTTGATTGCCAAGGGGGAAAGTTCCTCCTTTTAAAACTCAGTAAAGCTGACAGAATGGCAGGTCTCCCCAAACTGTTTCTGCCTTCTGAATCGCTGGTCATCCTTTGGACTAAGCCTGCCTCTCTCACCAACCTTGAGTACAAAATAATAATGCATCTGTGCTGCCACTATTGGCAATGCCAACAACCCAGATGTTTGTGTTTCTCCACTTGGACGCTCCCATGTACACTTCCTGTCTTACACCCACAGCGCTCCTCAGGAAGGAGCAAAGATGGCACACATCCTGGGGTTGCTTATTCTGGGGCCAACTATGGCCTTATCTCTGAGAAAGTTGACTGTTTTCTTTTGTTTTAGTGTTGAGCTGCTAACAAAGCCCTCTCCAGACTCTCATGTTTGCCCAGACATTATATAGAGCCCTGGTCAGATGTCTGGGTTAGCATTTTCTCAACCTGTTCAGCCCACTATCTACCTCTCTCCATGGCTCTTCAAGAACTTATTTATGTAGGCCTGGCACGGTGGCTCACGACTGTAATCCTAGTACTTTGGAAGGTCGAGGCAAGACAATCGCTCGAGGCCAGCAGTTCAAGATCAGCCTGAGCAAGAGCAAGACCCCGTCTCTACAAAAAATAGAAAAATTAGCCAGGTGTGTTGGCACCTGCCTGTAGTCCTAGCTACTTGGGAGGCTGAGGCAGGAGGATCGCTTGAGTCCAGGAGTTTGAGGTTGCAGTGACCTATGATGATGCCACTGTACTCTAGCCTGGGCTACAGAGCAAGACCCTGTCTCAAAAAAACAACAACAAAAGAACTTGTTTATATTTTCTTGCTTCCAATACATTACTGCCATATTAGGGCAAGGCAAACACCCTTTGGTAGCTTGAGTTTCCAGGATGCAGGTGACTCTGTCTTATTTCCCAAATCCTTCTCACAATTTAAAATAAAGAAGCTGCATGACACTGAACAGCTGTTCTCTGAGCAAGTTTCCAAATTCTACAGAACACATGTCTTTTGTATCTTCTCTTCTTCTCTCATCCTACGGGATGAATATGGGGAATCATATGCAAAAAAGCAAGTGTCCAATCGTCCCTTGCCTGTTACTAAAATATCCTGGTGTCTTCCTTTCCCATCATCCCTCACCAATTGTCATGCACATGTGTAGTCTAGTCGCAGAGATTACACAAAGAGAAATATCAAATTAATGTTCAAGGAAACTCATAGGCTCAGTTACAGTGTAACTCATCATAGACTCTCCCTAAGCTTCATATTTTAATCTGTAAAAAAAATAATAAATATGTCAAAGGATTGTTGTGTAAATTAAATGAGACAATAAGTGTGAACACACTTTGTATATTGTAAGGTCTATATAAATATATTTGTAAATATATTTCTAAAGCCGCTGATTTCACAGATTAATTCACGTAACGAACACTAGGATACTTAGATAAGGTGAGTGGGTAATGCACAGATGAGGCCAAGCTGGATGCCCATGGCTTCTTCCCTCTACTACTGTGATTCAGAGGCCTACAAATGTGCAAAACCCTAGAGCTCATGTGGCCAATCAGGAGACAATTTTGGAAGATGTTTTAATAGCCATATAATATGAATACCATAATCCTGAAACTTACCTTCCTTCTGCTGAAGATTATAGGTGAGTATCTTTCTTTCTCCTATCCTCATCACTTTAGGAGTAGAGATGGATTAATTATACCTTCTTCCCTCAGTGTCTAGACAGCCACAGCTAATAAGAAGCTCTGACTTTTATTATCAGTTCAGGTATTTTATGTCAGTAGTCCCAAGGGTTTCTTATCTCCTGAGGTTCAGCAGCCTGTGTGTATTTATAAGAACTGTCCCTGAGCTGGCCTATCAATTGTGGCATCTCCTACAGATTAGGCACACTGAAAAAGGGGATTCAAAATGAGTCCCTTCAGGCCAGGTGCAGTGGCTCATGCCTGTAATTCCAGCACTCTGGGAGGCCAAGGCAGGAGGAACACTGGAGCCCAGGAGTTCAAGAGCAGCCTGGGCAACATAGCAAGATCTCGTCTGTACAAAAAATAAAAAAAATTAGCTGGGCATGGTGGCAGGTGCCTGGTTTGTAGTCCCAGTTACTTGAGTGGCTTAGGCAGGAGGATCACTTGAGCCCAGGAGTTCAAAGTCACAGTGAGCTATGATTGGGCCACTGCACAGAGGAAGACCTTGTTTCTTAAAAAAAAAAAAAAAAAAAGGAAAAAAAAAAAAAGTCCCTTGAGAACCTTGCTATCCAGTGGGACAGATGTATTGTCCAATACATGCCTGGTCCTGGCCAACTGTTGAATGAATGAAGCACCATAGGCAGTGCTTGGTATAAGCAGTGGGAACTGTTTGAGCTCAGAGATGAAACAGATCACTGCTGTGTACAGCAATAAGGACAATCTCATGGAAGGGCAGATTTTAACTGTACCTTCAAACCTTGGGAGGATTCACTTAAGCTGAGAGGATGTGAAAGAATATTCAAGATATTGATGAAGGCATAAGCAAAAGAACTAAGAGGCAGAAAATATAAGGAATATGTAAAGAAGGCTGGGAATGACTGGAGTGTTTCTTGGATAAAAGCAGTTGGTTCAATGTTTCTAGCACCTAGTCATGGAAGCAAATTGCATCAGGCATGACTCTGAGTCCAGCCCTCCAGTCCCAAGTGATGGCTGTCCAGGGCATCTGGCAGAACGTTCCCGCTGATCTTTGGGTGGGCCATTTGTGGTGCCCTTAAAACAACACAGGCACTTAAAAGCTCCAAGTTTTCAGGGTCAAACAACTAGATTCAGGTGTGGCTTTGGGGGAAACTGTGACATCACTTCAGATTATCTCATAATCAATTACTGAGTGTCTACTATGTTAAATAGACCAAATTTCTGGAGATGGAGCCAAGGTAAATAAAACATGATTCTTACTCTGTTCAAATTGGAAAGGTATTAAAACAAATTCTAAAACCAATTTATTTTCTTGTGAAAAGTGCCTTGGTATCGTTCATATTCCCTTAGCTATCCTTATGCACTGACCTCTTCTTTAGCCCTGCTTCTACCACACATGTACATGTATGGGTCATCCTTGCTCTTGGGGAGCCTATTGAGACAAGGGACAATTTCTCACTCATCACTGTATCCCTAGGGCCTAGCACAATGCCTGGAATTTAGATGAATTTAGTATTTCCAGCATCCTTCTCATCCCCATCAGGCATCTAATTCAATCAGAATACTTTGTTCTCTCCTGTCTAGAAAATCATGATTTGAAAAACCTATGAGAATAGGCTTACAGAGGAGGATTTTCATTTACTAGATAAATCACAAAATGAGATAAATTCTTTACCAAAAGAAATCAGCCATGAATGATGAAGTTTATGATATTAGAAGAATAGATAATTATGGCACAATATTCCTGCTTATCCCTAAAATCAAATATAGATAGTTATCCATTCTACCTCTACTTGTCCTAACAAGCTTATTGCATGGAGGTCTACTGGAGTCAAGCACTTTAAACACAAAACTTCAACTATATGCAAGATACCTATTACCAGCCTATGAATTGTACATATTGTGAATAATGTTTGATGAAAGAGATTCCAGATCAGCCTGTTATGATCATCTGTGTGTGTTACTGCCTCACCATGAAAATAGTTTATTTTGAAACTTAAAATTATGTATAATTTGCTACACAAGTATCACAATGGAGGGCATCTGATTGCAAAAAAAAAAAAAAAAACAAATTAAAAAATGTAATCCAAAAACAAAGAGAAATACTCAGATTTCCTGTTATTCTTCTTTGTTAATGTGGATAAGTCAAAAGTTGACTTAGCTAAAGCAATCTCTTTATAGTTATGCTAAGAGTTCCTCTCAATGTGTAGAGAGAACTCTTTGGTCAGAAATGAGAAAATTACAAAATCACAAGAGCTAGTAGAAAGCCCGGGGAACTAGAGAGGTGGTTTCATGTGGTTGTTGCTGTCTGGGTTTTTGTTTGTTTGTTTGTTTGTTTTGACTTTGTAACCCTTCAGCTAGGGCCTTCTGAGGCTTTCAGTTGGAGTGTTTAGGTTTGGGAAGAACCACAGGACCCACTGACTTCCTTCTACCACTTGCACTATCACCATCATAGGTCCTGGAAAACAACCCCCAACCACCAGAGAGAGGCGCTGCTCCGCCCCTTCCAACAGCGCACTGTCACTGCCTCCACCAAGCAGTCTTGGCCTCGGCTGCAGCTCCCTGCATTAGTTCTAACGAGCCAAGGGTAGGTGCAGTGAAGATGGCG